GACGAGGAATATGAGACCTTCGTCCTTACTCTTATTAATGGGAAGGCATCCCTTTCATATAGTGAGGTCACTATTGCATTGGTGAATTATCAGCTTCGGAAGAAGGATAAGGAGAATTCGACTGAGTCGGTAGCAGAGGCGTTGGTCGCAAGAGGGAAGAATCCGAATCGGAAGAATTGGAAGTCACAGTCTAGAGTAGGGCATCCTACAATTAGAAAAGATCAGTGTGCTTGGTGCAAGGAGACTGGTCATTAGAAGAAAGATTGCCCAAAGCTCGACGAAAGCAAACATCGTATCGGATGGTAATAATTCTGACTCTTCTATTTATTCGCTTTCTATCAGTCCTACAGATAGCTATTCGAAGGAATCTGAATGAATATTGGATAGTAGTGCGACCTATCATGTGTGCCCTAGAAGGGAATGGTTCTCCAGTTTTGAGAAGCTGGTGAATAGTGGTGTGGTGTACATGGCTGATAACCATGCATGCCAGATCCTTAGGATAGGAAGAATTCGCATAAAGATGTTTGACGGGACTGTTAGGGAGTTAAATGATGTGAGATATGTTCCTTCTTTGAGGAAGAACTTGATCTCGATTGGAGCTTTGGTTGGAGAGGGTCTGAATGTTGGAATTAAGGACATGATTCTCAAGATTGTGGAAGACTCTCGGATTGTGATGAATGGCGTCAGGAGGAATAACCTGTATTACTTGACTGGAGGTATAGTGGCAAGTGGAGAACTGGCGACTTCTATTGATTCGACTAGACTGCGGCATTTGGGGCTTAGCCATTCCAGTATTGATTCCTCGAATAGATTGAAAGAGGGTGTGAAGACCTGCAGTTTGAAGTCCAGTGAACATGTTGATGTGAGCAAGAAGACCAAGGTGAAGTTTGGCACCTCTATTCACCATGCTAAGGATCGTTCTGGAGGAGTTCACGTGGATGTTTGGGGGCCTTCCAAGGGGGCATCATTGGGAGGTAATAGGCATTTGGTTTCCTTTGTTGGTGACTGTTCTAGGCGTGTTTGGGTTGCAACCAAATCCCCTTTGGAGAAAGTCCTAGTAGTATCCAACAGATTGAAGAAGTGTGTAATAGACAGAAAGGTGAAGGTACTCCATTCTGGTGGGAGGTACAAGATGGACCTATTTCTGTATTGGAGCCGAGCTCACGGCATTTCAAGACACTTCGTTGAAAAGGAAATCTTGGGCAACTAGATAGGGTGGCAAATTTGGAGAACTGTGCCTTACTAGAGGAGGATCGGTGTTTGTGGTCGAGCAATGGTTTGTAGAAGAGTTTCTGGACTGAGGCTTCGATATATTTGGGTCATCCTATTATAGAGTTGTCAACTGCTATGATTGGAGGTAAAACTTTATTAGAAGATAGGTCTGGTAGTGTCACTTTGGTTGAGGCTTCGATGAGGGAGCTAATTGACTCTCAGCAGGTGGAGAGTTTTGGACAGACCTTAGAGATATCACAGCGGGTGGAGACTGATGCTACTCCACATTGGGTGGGGATTTTCCCACATACTCTAGGTCATTCTGCATTGGTTGGGATTCCAGCTGAGGTGACACAGCGTGGAAGTCATTTGGATTCGGATGCAGATGATGAGTTGGGTTTTGACTCGAGTGCAGCTGATAGATGCAGTTTGGATATGACCATTGGTTCACCTCAGGTGGAGGTGTTTGAGGCCATTGGAGGTGCTATCAGCCGCAGAGTTGATGATATTGGAGAAGGGTTGCGAACTCTTCTATTGGATTGAGGTTATTTGCGGCCATTTGGGTGAACTACGTTCGGCTTGATTCCTTGGGCAAGAGGATACGTAGGCAGTCTTTATAATGCAGCCGGGTTGGAATATTTGATGGGGGTGAGATCGATTTGGTGAGTTGATACTGACATTTGGAGAGTGTTTGCATTCTCATTTGGGTTCTCAACTTGTTATGGATTGAGTCTGTTGTCGTGAATTGTTTCACGGTGTACTGGACACAACAAGTGAGACATTTGGTTTGGTTGGTGTCGGCTCAGTTTTAGAGAAAACTTCACCGAGGTGGAGAATTGTGAACGTGGAGTCACATGGGGCCCACCCATGTGTTTGTGAAACTGATTGCGTGTGGGAGGTTGATTGTGTGTGGGAGGATGGCTTTGGAAAATCTCGTGAAGAGATCACGGTGGGGGCCAGCGGACACGAGAAGACCACAAGCAATTATGAAAGCCGAATATTGTGCGGCCCACCCAAGTACGAAGCAACACCCTATAAATAAGACTTCATGAGTTCCTAGGGTTTCGTACAAGATTGAGAGGGGGAATAGGCAGGCGGCTGGGTGCAAAGGACAGCGCTGGCAAAGTGAAAAGCAAGGGGATTCATGCAAGAGGTGAAAAAGAGGCAGAGGTGAAAGATTGGCTGCGGCTGTTTTCTGCAGAGAAGAAAAATAGCAAGGAAGCAGAGGAAAATCCTAGGGCCTTTTGAGAGAGAAAAAGTATTTGGAGGCTGACCTTTTCTTGTGAAGAAAAGCAAGGAGCTTATTTGAGGGTTTAGATTGTGAAACTTATAAACCCATTGTATTCTTTTTCTCTTTAATAGTAGATCTCCCCCTCCTTGCCCCGTGGACGTAGGCAGTTTGCCAAACCACGTAAAAATTAATTTGTTTGAGTTTGTGGCCATTGTAATAGTTTTTAGGATCCCTCGACAAGTCAGTCCTAGAACTGATGAGAGGAAGAGCCGATATCTCACTTTGTTAAGATATTCGCTTCAGATTCTTGTCTCCTTGGTGAGACGAGAATTCTTATTGGGATCTTTCTCTCTTATTGTACACCAAAAACTCTGTCGAAATTTCCGCTGCGCACAACATGGTTAACTAAACTATTTAATAAGATTATCGAGACGAAAAGAATGTCGGATGAGTGGAGGATTAGTATTTTGATATCGATATATAAGAATAAAGGAGATATACAAAGTTGTTTAAATATAAAACTCATGAGTTATATTATGAAACTTTGGAAGAGGGTAATTGAGCAAAGACTAAGAAAGGAAACAAGTATATATGAAAATCAATTTGCTTTTATGCCTATGAGGTCAACTATGTAACCTATACATATTTTGAGACGGTGATGAAGAAATATAGAGAGAAGAGAAAGGATCTACGTATGATTTTTATCGATCTAGAAAAAGCTTATAATAGAGTGTCTAGAGAGGTAATCTAGTGGGTGTTAGAAAAGAAACATGTATCTAGTATAAATATAGATATAATTAAAGATATGTATGATAGAATAACAACTAGACTAAGAACTAATGAAGGAGAAACTAAACCATTTCTTATTATTATAGATTTACACCAAGGGATCAGCTTTAAGTCCTTATCTTTTTCTATTAGTTATGGACCAACTTACTAAGCACATTCAGGACGAAATACCATGGTGTACGTTATTTGCTGGTGATAGTGTGTTAGTTGATGAAACTAGAAGAGACATTAACTCTAAAGTAGAAAGATGGAGATAAGCACTTGAATCTAAAGGTTTTAAAATTAATAGAAAGAAAATAAAATATATGAAGTGTATTCTTAGTAAAACTAGGAAAGAAAGAGAGCCTATGGTATATATTGGTAACCAAGAAATACCAAAAACTAATCATTTCGCTATTTAGGATCAATCATTAGACATAATGGTGAGATAGAGAATGATATTGTGCATCGAATTAAATCGGAATGGTTGAAATGGATGAGTGCTTCAGGAGTATTGTGATCGTAGAATACCAATAAAACTAAATGGAAAATTCTATAGGACGGTAACAAGATCAACTATGCATTATGGGTCAGAGTGATGGGCAATTAAAAAATAACATGTTTAAAAAATGAGTGTAGTAAAAATGAGAATGTTGCTATGGTCTTGTGAGTACACATTAAAAGATAGGATAAGAAATGAGTGCATCCGCAGTAAATTAAAGGTTGCTCCTATTGAGGATAAAATGAGAGAGAATATATTAAGATGGTTTGGTCATGTACAACGGAGACCGCTTCATGAACCGATTAGGAAAAGCAATAATATTATAGTTAATGGGGCTAGCAGATACTAGAGATAGACCTAGAATGACTTAATTGGAAGCAATTAAAAATGACTAACTTAACGAAGGCGATGACCCATAACGGAATGGAATAGAAGAATATGATTCATGTAACCAACCCCAAACATTTGGGATAAACGCTTGGTTGTTGTTGTTGTTATTTGATATGCCAAAATTTCAATCTCATTTCACTTTGACACCTTGTCTTTGATAACTTTCTATTAAATTTGTGCTATGTGTTTGACATGTATTACAGTTAGATCCATTTCATCCAGTTGCTCGAGCTTCAAACAACCAAATGTTCTTAGTAGCAGTGAATGGGGCCTAAGCATGTGATACAAATTTAACAAAAGATTAACAAAATCAAGACCGAGGTATCAAAGTAAAATGAGATGAAAAGTTTAGGGTATCCAATCATTAAAAGAATACTTTGGAGTATCAAAGTGAAAAAAAATTGGGTAATCTTTGGGGTGCCAAAGTGAAAATAAGTCTTCTTTTTACAAGAAATTTTAGTGAGAGAAAGAATGTTTTAGTATTTTGATTTTGATTTGAAGGAAGAGGAGTAATCTGTAGAATCTTCACTTGATTACTTTCGATAGGTTAACGGTCAAAAGAGGCTAGAGAACTCAATATGAATCTAAAAACCCTACAAAAACACCCAAAAAAGTTGGCTTAACAATCCACAGAAATCTCAAGATTTATTCTTTTTACATCAAAATGGAGAAACCTCTAACAAAACCTCTCAAAGAAAAACTCCGGGGTACTCCTCCCTAAAAGAGCTAAGAATATCCATAGCCTGATAAATCCCTTTCTTGCCTTCTCTCCTCCTTTCTTTTCCTTCACTTCTCCTAACAGAACAGAATGTGCTTTCCTCTCGTTAACTCCAATTTTCTTTCAACAAGCAAAACAAAGCATAACATAATTTAATGGCACATCCTTCACTATAAAGTGCAACATCCACATGCCAAAAAAAACAGACCAACACAATTAGCTTTCAAGTTTAAGTAAACCCATTCAACAAAATGGCAGCTGCAATGAGTTTCAAGAGGTCTGATAGCATTGCAGAGAGCATGCCTGAAGCTCTGAGACAAAGCCGATATCAAATGAAGCGATGCTTTGCTAGGTAAAAACATTGCTTTGCGTTAGAAATATTGTTGGGCGATATGTTTGAGTTAAGCTTACGAGAATGCGATGTGATGAATGATAACAGGTATGTTTCTGAAGGAAAGAGGCTAATGAAGAAAGAAAACTTGCTGGAGGAACTTGAGAAATCCATGGATGATAAGATGGAGAAGGAGAGACTCATGGAGGGGTTTCTTGGTTACATTATTTGTTCCACTCAGGTTTAAGTTTTTCATGTTTTCAGTTACCCTTGGCGTGCAGTATCGTGCCGTGATACTTATTGCCCCTTAAGTTCGATGTTGTCAAAAACACATTTCCTGAGTGAAATTGCTTCTTAAACCCGTTTACCCCTAGGGGAGGGATACCTGCTTTTAATTTTTGGCAGACAGTTCGTCGAGGGATTAAAAGGGTCTTAAAAATGCCATGTATCTGCCTACATCAAACTTCAGGGGTAACAGGAGGCACAGGGTTCTATGTGCAATTAAACCTTCTCATTTTCATGGGATTTCATAATACATATATTTACATTTTGTACATTGTTACTTTATTGTAGGAGGCTGTAGCTCTTCCACCATTCGTGGCTTTTGCTGTTAGGCCTCATCCTGGAATCTGGGAGTATGTCAAGGTGAATTCGATTGATCTTTCAGTTGAGGGGATCACTGCTTCAGATTACTTGAAGTTCAAAGAAACAATTTACGACGAAAAATGGTAAAAAAACAAACCAATATTCAAAATGAAATTAAAATTAGGGAACCGGTTTTATATGGATGTATGAAATTTGCAGGGCGCAGGATGAGAATGCACTGGAAGTGGACTTCGGAACTTTTGATCACGCAACACCTCACCTCACTCTTCCATCATCCATAGGAAATGGCTTACCGTGTGTAGCAAGATTTTTATCGTCGAAACTCCATGAAAACTCTGAAAGCATGAAGCCATTGATCGACTACCTTCTCTCTCTCAAACATCGCAGAGAAGTAAAAAAGAAACTAAATTTCCAAGTACAGAAACAAATTATGAAGAAGTCAAAATGGACTAATATTGTAGCATATATTTGCAGAAACTTATGATCAATGATACACTGAACACGGTAAACAAGCTTCAGACAGCTTTGCTCCTGGCTGAAGTTTTCGTATCTAATCTGCACAAGAACACGCCATTTCAAAAATTTGAGCAGAGGTGAATCTGTCATAATATATGATACGGATATCATAAACGAGATCAAAAGATTCTTGAATTAACCCAATCACATTGTTTCTGTTTTTTTTATCTGTAGGTTTCAGGAGTGGGGATTGGAAAAGGGATGGGGGGATAATGCTGAAAGAGTTAAGGAGACTCTGAATTGTCTCTCTGAAGTTCTTCAGGCACCGGATCCATCAAATATGGAGAAATTCTTCAGCAGAGTTCCTACAGTTTTCAATATTGTGATTTTCTCACCCCACGGGTATTTTGGGCAAGCTGATGTTCTTGGATTACCAGATACCGGTGGACAGGTACAAAAATGACCCGCCAGTGCTTTATTCACGAAGTTGATTGGTGACTAACTGGGTGTCGATATTTGAACAGATTGTGTACATTTTAGACCAAGTTAGAGCTCTTGAAGAGGAACTGATCCTTAGAATCAAGCAACAAGGGCTTTCAGTATCTCCTCAGATTCTAGTGGTGAAGTTCAAAACTTTTGCAAATTGTTTGCCAAATACAACTAAAGAAGAAAATAAGCGAAGAGAGTGTTTGCAGGTGACAAGATTGATACCAGATTCCAAGGGAACTAAATGCAACCAGGAGCTCGAGCCCATTCTCAACACGAAGCACTCCAACATCCTTCGGGTGCCATTCAAGACTGAGAACGGGGTTCTCAAGCAGTGGGTTTCTCGCTTTGATATCTACCCTTACCTCGAGAGATATGCTCAGGTGTATGATCGACTGGGAATGACAATGTCTTCAAATTTTTTGAATTTTCTATACTAAGACTTTGTTTCTTGTTCCTTAGGATGCTGCTGATAAAATTCTTGATCATATGGAGGGCAAGCCTGACCTGATCATTGGAAACTACACTGATGGGAATCTTGTAGCTTCTCTAATGGCGAGCAAACTAGGGATTACTCAGGTTTGCCAAATTTATTTTGATATATAAAGACAAAACAGAGCTGAAAGAAAGAAAAAAAATTGCTGACACAACCTCCTCCCGATTGATAGGCAACCATTGCTCATGCTCTGGAGAAGACAAAGTATATAGATTCAGATATCAAATGGAAGGAATTAGACAGGAAATATCATTTCTCATGCCAATTCACAGCCGATATGATCTCAATGAACACTACTGATTTCATCATCACAAGCACATACCAAGAAATCGCAGGGAGGTATTAGACCCAATTGATAATAGACCCAATCGATATTCTTTTTTTTTCCTTTCCTTTTTGCAGGGACTCAATTATGAATTTGGGTAAAATCATTAACATTATGTCGTGTTGCAGCAAAGAAAGACCCGGACAGTATGAGAGCCACTACGCATTCACAATGCCAGGGCTATGTCGATACGTAACGGGCATCAATGTGTTCAATCCTAAGTTCAACATAGCTGCGAAGAGACTGACTGAGTTTCATTCTGCTATTGATGAGTTGCTCTATAGCAAAGAGGACAACAATGAACACCTGTAAGTTTACAATTTCACCCTTTCACAAATCTTATATCGAATACTTTCTCATTCAATTGAACATTATGAATGAATTACAAAGGGGATTCCTTGCTGACAAGAAGAAACCAATCATATTCTCAATGGCGAGGCTCGACACTGTGAAGAACATAACCGGCCTAGTAGAGTGGTATGGAAAGAACAAGAGGCTGAGAGAATTGGTGAACCTCGTGGTTGTTGCAGGGTTCTTCGACCCAGAGAAATCGAGTGACAGAGAAGAGATTGCAGAGATCAAGAAGATGCACTCTCTGATCGATAAGTATCAACTGAAAGGTCAGATTCGATGGATAGCAGCACAGAATGATCGGCATAGAAATGGTGAGCTCTACCGATGCATTGCAGACACCAAAGGAGCTTTCGTGCAGGTCAAATAGCCGACTCTTGTTATCATATTTAGAGCTACTTAGGACAGTTTATGATCATATTGTTTTATTTGATGCAGCCTGCACTCTATGAAGCATTTGGGCTGACAGTGATTGAGGCAATGAACTGTGGACTGCCAACATTTGCTACGAACCAAGGAGGGCCAGCTGAAATCATCGTGGATGGAGTTTCAGGATTCCATATCGATCCAAATAATGGCGATGAATCTAGCAAAAAGATTGCTGATTTCTTCCAGAGGTGCAGTGAGGATACTGGTTACTGGACTAAAGTTTCAACAGCAGGACTGCTGCGCATATATGAATGGTAAAAATACTGATACCCTTGAAGCCAGTGTTTTCGGTGCTCAACTTTTCACAGAAAAATTGATGGAGACCGACATATGCAGCTATACATGGAAGATATATGCAAACAAAGTGCTGAATATGGGATCGATGTATAGCTTCTGGAGGCAAATAAATAAAGAAGAGAAGAATGCCAAAAGGCGATACCTTCAAATGTTTTACAACCTGCAGTTCAAAATTTTGGTATGCTTGCTGAAGAGAAAGAATGATCGAATCAACCATTTAGATCTATTACAAGCTAACACCTAAAACCTGCAGGCCAAGGCAGTGCCCATACCCGGGACTGAAGCCAAGCAGGATCCTCAGCAGCAGAAACCTCCAGCAAAGAGTCTGGTAACGCCAATACAAAGGCAAGTTTGCCCACTATTTAGATTTTTAGAAAAGATACTGAGGAGGGGTAGCTACTAACAATTCCCCTTGTTGAAATCCCTACAGAAGAACACAGACGAGGATACAAAGGTGAGAGATTCAAACTAGATCACCATGCTTGTTTTTCCTAGTAGGCATTCATTTTACAACTAGTTACACATATTTATAGGTGGTTCGGTTAATTCTTCAATCCCAAAATGCTCTCAGGATTACAGATTGCTTCGGACAAAAGACACCAGCATCGAAACCAACATCTCAAACACCTCAGGCAAAGCGTCAACAGAAAAAGCCCACAGCTTGAAAACTCGTATTTGTAACACGCAACCTTTATACGTTTTTCATGTGTCACTGTAGTTTCCTGCTTTAGAGCTCAAAATAATGTAATAGTGAAAAGTTTGCGATCAATAAAGTACCCAGTGTTTTAACTTCAAAATATAGTACAGTAACATATCAAATTCTTATGGCCAAAGACCATATGCCATGTCCAGATTCACGCATGTATCCAGAAGTTTATCTAAACAAATAGCTAATTACGGACATATCTCAAGTTCACATGGCTCAGCAGTAGAACATAACCTTCTTCACGTTTTCTTTAAGAGCGGGAAGAGGCTTAACGTTTCCACCCCCATGGCCACGTGTGGAGCGCTGAAGAGCTCCACGGCCACCAACTGCTGGAGTTGCTACCGAGTCACTGTCAGATGTCTCGGGTTCCATATAAAAGCGAGCACGGAAAGCAGCAAGATGAGCATAATATGCAGGTGGTACTGTTGAAACAAGAACAAGTGTTATCCACAATCAATCCTTAAAGGTGTCTTTTGCAACCCGAAAGAAAATAGGAAGTGGACAAAAGATTTGAAAGCTACTCCACTTTCTTTTCTTGTTCGACAATCCGAAAAATGACCATAAAATAAATGGAAAATAAAGGGTGGCAGATCAACTTTTTAGCCCCTTTAGCATCAATTTTAGCCCCTTTCGGTTTCTCAATTTTTTTAATAAAGCGCGTGAAAAGTGCATTAGAGAGAATTTAATCTTTCTTACATCAACCAAAAAAAAAGAAAGGAAATTAATCTCATGTTCTATCTCCACACCCATTTCCACTTTCCACTACCCATTTTAATAACCAAACATTACAATTAAAGAAAGTGAATGTCACATTAGTACTGGCTTCGTTTGGCTACCAAGGTGTTTTCCTTGTGTTTTTGAAAAAAAAACATGTTGTGTTTTTCCATTAAAATATTTTCAAAACATCATGTTAAGTATTTTTGGTCAACACTAGTTTGACCCATTATAACATTAGTATTAAACATATTATTAATATATTATATATTAATTATAATAAAATATATTATAA